GACTTTGTTATCGAACTGAAACGAAAAGTCTTCTGATAGATTTAGTTCTTGGAGCAAAGACACATTGGATTTTTGGGTGAAACTTATTACCAACTGGTCGCTGATACGACTCCGTTGTATATTTTGAGTATTGATTTTAATAATCATTATGTTTATTCATTGGAATTTTGATTTGTCTGTTTGTTTCTGGTTGCATCAGCTTCCAGAGTTGACAAATCATCATTGGTTGGTGTTAATTCTGTTTTCTCATGTACTGGAATTTCATCACCCAGTAGCATTTCATCCTGCTCATATTCTTCTGAATCCTCATATTCGTCTTTTGCATCATAGATGTATTCTCCATCATTTTCATACTCCTCATCATATTCTTCGTCATTATCATTATCAGGTTCTGCACTTGATTCAGACAGGGTTGGCTCTTTAGAGCCAGTTTGTGCCAGTTTTGATGTCACTGATGGGTGTGGGTCTTTAATGACTAACTTAATAGATTTTGGTACAAATGGTTTTGGTGCTGAAGGCTTGGTGGTGTTAATTTTGGTCAAAATTGGGGTAGAGATTGGGGTAGATTTTGGGGTAGATTTTGGGGTAGATTTTGGAGTAGAAGCTGGGGTAGAAGTTGGGTTGGACAAGGTTTGATTAGATTTTGGGGTAATTGGATGGGATCTAAACACATTCAACTTAATTCCTGGTTTTGCTGACTCTTGCTTGGTTTCAGCTGGTTTCTCCCTTTGAAGGATTTTCTTTGGTTTGACGGATGCCTTCTTTTTGGAGGCCTTTCTAACTTGATTAACCGGAGGAGGGGTGATTTGATGCTTTCTGTTGATAGCTGGTGTGGTAGTTTGAATATTTTCATAATCATCATCTCTTTCTTTGGATATTAATCCCAATTGGTGGAATGGATTCTTCCATAAATTGCTCAGTTCATTTTGTGGTGGTTTTGACTGTCTGGATCTAGATGAACCATGAACCATGGTGAACTCGGTAGAAGGAACTTCAATCACTGGTGGTTGATTTTGCTTCTGTTTGGGGTTCTCATGACGATCATCTGTAACATTTTTCTTTGGCCGCTTAAAGTAACAGTCTTTAGCTACATGGCTAGGCTTTTTGCAAATCGCGCAAGATGCTTGCTTGCAATTGTATCTGGTGTGTTCTCTTGAACCACAATTGATACAGTGTAAGCATTTAGTAATAACTTTAGAAACAATGTTGTCTTGGTGAATAACCGGGATTTGTTTTCCTGGTTCCATTTCCAAGTAACCATAAATGTAACGATTTTTAAGCTCCTCGTTAGGTCTTTTAGTCATGTCACTTTTAATCACTGAGAATGATGTTGGTTCAATTTGGGCTAGGTCAAGCGCTTGCTTGATGGTAGCATCGACAAAATAGTCGGGGGTTGTTTCCAAGGCTGTTATCTCAATCAATTGGATTTCTTTATCATTCTTATTGATATTGATGCGTGGCTTGTAAGTGGATTGTTCAATGTCAACACTTAAATGGCTAGTGACAAAATCAATAAATGCATTACGTAACTTTTCATTCTTAGTTTGTAATTGACCTTTCAATATTGGGATAAGTGAGGATTTGAGACAAATAGTTTCATTTGAAATAAACAAGTAGTTTTGAGCTTCAATTAAAGCTTTCTTGATGAAGTTGATATCATCATTATCATTCAAATCAGTTTCAATGTTGGTTAATTTAACATCGATTAATTTTTGGAAGGCATCCTTTATTGAACTCAAATGATCATCAAGTTCATACTTCCGGTAGACTTCAGGTGGGATAATAAATGACATCATGATTTTTTGTTTATCTTGATGGCTCATAATAAATTTAATGTAATCCTCCTCTGCAATATTAGATTGTTTCAATCTTGAGAATTCATTAATTAAATGGGAATTTGTATAAAATTTGAAAAACTTTTCAATGGTGTAGATTTTAACAAATTCTTGATATTTCTCTTCAACATTTTCCACTTTTTGTGTGTCAAATCCGAAAAGTGATCCCCTCATGCCCTTTTCCTTAATAGCATATTCAAGGACATCTTGGTGTTCGAACTTGATTGATTTGAGATATTTAGCCCATTTAAAAACTCTTTCGAATTTGGCTAAAACATTTTGAAAAGTGGAGGTGGTGTTCATAATCAGAGTCCCCTGTTGGGATGCGCCTTTAGAGCCCGAGGCGATTTGGGCGTAGGATCTGCTGAAAGCAGCAACTGGGGCTGGGTTAGTTTTTTTTGGGGTTTTTTGGTTTTCAGAGTTTTTTTGGGTTTTGTTGTTTTCAATTTTTTTTTGGTTTTCAGAGTTTTCAGTAACAAAATCAATAGAAACAGAAGGTTGTGAATCTCCTTGAGATTCAATGGTGGCTTGATTTGACATATGCATGTCGACGCTAGTGTCACCTGCACTATCAAGATTGCGATCGCAATCAACTGGAGAAACATTAATTTCCAGGGCTGGGCGGTGGGCAATATCAACATCAGAATCAGCATTAGAGGCCTCATTTATGGTATTAGATGGGGTTGCAAAGGTTTCAGCAGTACTTAAAAAAGTATTGTCATCTTCCTCAGTGATTTCTTCGTCTGAATGTGGTTCATTTCCGTGTTTGTTTACATTGTTTTGATCGGTTGCGTTGGGATTTGCATGATCTAAGTCAACGATAATATCAGAAGAAACCAGGGTTTCTTGAGAAGGTGGATCATTTGTTGGATCAGTGGAGTAGTTGGAAGGCTTTGGAATTCTTTTGGTATTATTAATACTCATTATTTTTTTTTATTTTTGTGTTAATAACTGGTCGAGAACAATCATCGACAAGAAACAGAGTGTAACTTAATAAAAAAAAAAGCCCTTATGGCCAAGTTGGTAAGGCGCTACACTAGTAATGTAGCGATCCTCAGTTCGACTCTGAGTGAGGGCAACTTAATATATTTAGGGCGTGTGGCGCAGTTGGTAGCGCGCTCCCTTAGCATGGGAGAGGTCTTGGGTTCAATTCCCAACTCGTCCATTTTTCTTTTTTTTGACACCTGTCCGTTAGTGAAAATTTGATGATTTTTTCTTTTGAGACTCAAAAACAACGACATCCAGATTTGGACATAATGTGGAAATATAGCTTTAAGTACTCAGTTGGCAAAGTCCAATTTTTTCCCGCCGCCATGTGCTTTTATGCAGTGAAATGCACTGATTTTGTGCGTAGCGGAGCTCCATTGGTGTCAGTAGCCGCCGGAGTGGACAAGGTATTCTAAGACATTACGATAGTATTAACTTGATTTGGGATTGATTAAATGTGTGTTGCTTTTTTCTTAGTTAAATAAGCTTACTTCTCTAAGTAATCTATCTCAGCTGTAGATAGAAGGATACTAGATCCTTGAGTAATAAAATCGTACTCCTTCCATGATAAGTGAAAGTGGCCACCTGGACTGGATTCCAGACATTTTGGAGTCTACTGACACCAGTCCATTTGGTATTCTACTAGATATTTGTTTTCGGATGAGATCGAGTTATTCTTCTTCTATTCTCTAAGTAATTAATTCTTCCTTTCATGACAAATAAAAGCCCTTTTATATCTAGATTCAGAAGAAGCTAAAAATAGTAATACACTGACTGCTCAGTGGTTGTGATCCACAATAGTGGTACACTCCAACAGTAGGTGTTATACTAGGAACCAAATCTTTGGATATCTACCTATAAATATTATAGTCATTGCTATCAAGATTACATTTACAGCCATTATTGGTTTAAGGTTGCTAGATGTCGTGCTGTTTGTCCTTACTACTATCCTTATATTCAAGTTTATTATCTAAAGTGTTTGTTTCGTCTTTACATATATTGAAGTACTTTGTAGACCTGTAGAATTCTAACAATGTTGGCGGCAGCAAAAGTAGTATGAAGGTGAGGCATGTTAAGTTGGCAATCCAAAGTTATGTGCTTAGTTATTGTTCATGGAACCTTCTGGAATTCCATGGAACATTCTAGAACTCATTGAGATTAATATAAATATGGGCCATGCCCCCATAGTCTGAGTTTGTCCTTTATATAATTTAGATAGTTAACAAGTAAAACAAGTATAACAAGGGAATAAATATTATTGAATATTATTCTTATCAATGTCTTTTGTAACTAGAGTTACAAAACTACAACAGAAAAATATCAACAACACATTCCAATTAGAATTAAGGATTTTGACCATACTAAAGGAAGTAAAAAACAACGGGAAAAACAAGATGTGAACAAGATGTCAAAAACACTCATGGACATTACTGGGGTGAATCAGAAACAAGTTGATAACTTTTGGCATAACCTCAAAAAATTCAACCAACATTTCCCGGGGAAATATCAAAATATTCACATCTTTCATTTGGGCATTGAAAATCACAATTATGTAAATAATCATTGTGACTATTGCAGCAAAAAATTAACCAGATATGATGAACCCCAATATGCCCCAAAGGAAATCCAATTTGAAATCATGAAGCACCATCTTATTGAATGTCCATTGGCCCAGAAACTTTGGAAAAAAATTGACTTGAATATCCCATTAACCTGGCAAACAATCATTACCCCTGCCACCAACATGAACGAAACCAGAACGATCGATAGATATCTAGGTTTCCAACGAAAATTATCAAGATTGAAATCCAAAAGGCATTTCAATTGTCATATGGCCGTTGATTCAATGATCTTCTTGCTTGAAAGCAATATCTTTTAAGCGGAGAAGAAAAAATAGGTGGGGAAAAACAAGAAAATAAAATCAAAAAAAAAAATAAAATCAAAAAAAAAACAACAATTAAAAACCTTAAAAACGCATAAAAACATTTTTTCTCAATAATAGGGTTTTTCACCATTAATGGTTTTCCCTTAACACTTTAATTTTCAAGCTACATTAGGTAGTTTATGAGATATATAGTTATATAATTAATTAATATATTGAATTTTGTCTTTAAAAAAAAAAAAAAAAATCTTTCATACTGATTTTCATCGTACCAGTAGCATCGTCTCTCTGGATTGTCACACCCAAGAACATCTTTCCGTCAAGTTCTTTCATCTTGAACTTTGAACACAATACCTCCTTAATCTCCTTCACCTTCTTCTCGTTTTCACCAAACACCAACATATCATCAACATACACCAACACCATGATCCCTTTGTCATAGAAAAGACATGGATCAATATTAGACACCTTCAAGTCCGCAGACTTCAGCACGCCAGCCAACTTATCGTACCAGATGGCTGGACTTTGTTTGAGACCATACAAACTCTTCCTGAGTTTCCACACTTTACCAGCTGGGGTCTCAGTTCCAGCTGGAGGCTTAACATATATTGAGTAATCAATATCACCATTTAAGAAAGCAGTTGTTGCATCTAGCTGTACCATGGACCAATTCTTTGCGGCAGCAATCGACAACACAAATCTAACAGTGTCGAAACTAGCAACCGGGGCCCAGTAATCTAAGTAGTTCACTCCCCTTTCTTGTGAAAAACCTTTACACACCAAACGAGCTTTGAATACTTCTTCACTGGCTTTGGCTTAACACTGAAGACCCATCTGGAATTTACAGTCTTCATGCCTTCGACATAATCAACCTCTTCGTATACTTTGTTGATTTTTAAGGCAGTGAGCTCATTTAAAATAGCAATTAGCCATTTCACTTTCTGCTCACTAGCTAAAACTTGGCTGTAATTGTTTGGGATTTCATACTTGGTTCTTTCAACGGCAAGATACACTTCTTCAGCTAGTAAGGAGATTTCACCATCCTTTGTAGTTAGTAACAGTGGCTGTTCCACTTCCTCTGAAGTGCTAGCAACATCTTTGCCATCTGTTATTAGTGGCCGTGGTTCTGGTCCAACCAACATTCGGCCATTAAACATCACTGAAGGATTCTTTTGATAAACAATAGTTGGATCATTTTCCATCCACTTGTTTGTCTGATTATCTCAAGGCACAGTATAATCAGCAACTCTTTGAACGCCTTTACCGGCTCCACCATATGGGACAAGATCTTTCACAGCTTGATGCTTTTTAACAACTAGCCTTCCCTCTGGACCGGCAATCATCTTCTTTACTGGTTTGCTTTCTAACAACATACCAGTTGTGGTATCAGACTCACTTTCACTGTGAGCTACCCGTTTAGTTCCTCTAGTTTTCTCGTCAGGAACTCTAGTATATTTGACTGGAAGATCACTAGGGACGGGTTTAACAATGACTTGGGTTACATTGTTTGGTCTGACCAACACCTCAGTGATTGACATTGCAGTAGTAGCAGACGGAAACAACCTCTCAATTTCACTATCTTGAGCATTGTTGAACATTTTGTGTCCAAACGTTGAAAACCGTTTAGCTTGGCTATCATCAGTATCACTTGCCTCACTTCCATAATAGTTGGAAGGATAATTAGAGCTTGAAGAGATACCAGCATCGTTACCACTGGACAGCCCATTACCATCATCGCCTGATGATTCACTTCTAGGCATTGGGTCTGGGAAGACTGGATCTGGAGAAGCTTGTTTAGCACCAACCTGTTCAGGAGTAGTTTGACCATCGGATTTTGAAGCAGTAGCATCACTCATATCAACATCAAAAGGCTCAGCTTGGTCTTCTTCTTCAACAGAGGACTCATCCCCCCCTGAAAATGAACTATCTTGAGTAACATTTTCAAGGTTTTCATCAAAAGCAGCAATAGAGTCAACTGACATATCACGATCAGGAACATGTACACCTCCTGAAGCACCACTAACACCGCCAACGCGGCCACCTCCTCCGCCAACAAACATGCCACCACCACTACCACTACCACCACTACCACTACCAGCACCGCCGAGCGCGGCCTGACCATTCTTCAAAGGATAGACTAATGGCATAAAACGGAAAGCACTGGATCTAACCACTCTACCATCTTTTAAGAGTGCAAAAACTATTTTAGTTGTTTTGCTATATCCCAAAAACACGCCAGCTTCTTCTTGGATAGGATCAAACTTGCTTTGTCTGTGATAATCTTTGATAAAGACACGACATCCAAAAGGAGCTTTGACTTGGAATTCCTTTTTCTGTTCTCTGAGCAACTCATAGGGGGACCTCCCGCCATTTAATGGTAGATAATTGTGGACAAACACCGCATGGCTAAGGGCAAAGTTCCAATACGAAATGTCTACGCCCGAAGCCTTAAGAATAGAAAACATTTTTTCTTGTAAAATGCCATTCAATCGCTCAGCTCCACCATTCTGATGAGACGAATGTGGGGCTGTCGGTTCGAAATCAATGAAATTTCTACCACTCGATGGGCTACCATCCAACCAGTTCTTAATTGTATTGGTATCAAACTCATTGTCTGCACGGAACATGACAATGTTTTTGTTTGAATCAGCTTGTTTAAGGAAATTATGAAACATTCCTAAACACTCAATTGTTGAAGTTTTGTAACCCTAGTTACAGTAGTCATTACCAATAACAAATACTATCAAACTATCCTTGTTATTATTTTTATTCTTCTTAACTAACTAACTATTTAAATAACAAAATATAAACTCAAACTATGGGGAGAGGCCCCATATTTATAATAAGACCAATATATATGATTTGTAATCATACATCCATCTAGAACATTCTAGATGATTAATCATATGCACAATGACTAATTATTAGGCTGAGTCATAATCACATGCAGATTATATATTGCTCAGCCATGGTAAATAAACCGTCTTATCCGAGACTCGAACCCAGGATCTATTCAACACATTGATACCCGTGTTAACCGTTGAGCCATCTGTACAAAACCCAATATATGACTTTGGATTGTCAACTCAACACCCTCTCTCAATTCAAAGTCACCATACCACAAAGCTTTCTTAGCTCTATGAATTGAGGAGCAGCAAGACCTTTAGTGAACATGTCAGCAACCATGATTCCAGTATTAAGGTATTGCAAATCAATTGTCCCAGATCCAATGTGATCCCTGATGAAATGAGTCCTGATATCAATATGTTTGGTACGGTGATGGAAAGCTGGATGTTTGGCCATTTCAATACACCCCTGGTTATCATCATAAATCTTCACTGCATCAGTGTTAAGGCCAAACTGTTCAAAGACCTGTTTCAACCACAATGCCTCTTTCACACCTTCGCTGAGAGACATATATTCTGCTTCAGCTGTAGAAAGAGCAACCGTTGCTTGTTTCTTAGATCTCCATGTGATTGCACCATTGGCATATTTGAACACAAACCCAGTAGTAGACTTTCTGTCTGACTTATCTCCAGCCCAGTCAGCATCACAATATCCAACTAGTTCACCATCTCCTTTATCTACAGCCTCATATCTTATACCTAATTCTTTCGTACCTTTCAAATATCTCAACACTCTTTTAGCTGCCTTGTAATGGACCTCCTTTGGCTCCTTGAGATATCTTGATAAAACACCGACGATATAACTAATATCGCTCCTAACAGTATTGGCAGCAAACAACAATTTTCCAACTAAGGATCTATAGTCTGTAGCATCACATGTTTCAGCATTGGCATCCACCAACGTAAGTTCTTGGCCAGAAATTGTAGGCGTCTTATCGTGGTTGCAATTCTCTATTCCAAATTCCTTCAACATGGAACCAATGTAGTCCTTCAAACTCATGTTGATACCACCGCCATCTTGAGAAATATTCATGCCTAAAAATTTCTTGACAACTCCCAAGTCTTTCATCTTGAAAACATTCATCAATTCAGATTTGACTTTTCCAATAGCAAAATCTGAGGTACCAGCTATCAATAAGTCGTCAACATAGAGAGCAACCATCACAAATGATTTTTCCGATTTCCTTGAGTACAAACAATACTCAGCACCGTTTCTAACAAAACCAAGAGACGACAATACACTGTGGATTCTCTCATTCCACACCAAGGGAGCTTGCTTCAATCCATATAAGCTTTTCTTCAATCTCAAAACCATTGTTTCTTTTCCCTTAACCACATACCCTTCCGGCTGTGTCATGTATAATTCTTCTTGAAGAAACCCATTGAGAAAAGCAGTCTTAACATCCATCTGATGAACTGCCATTCCATTCTTGGCAGCGATACTCAACATCAACCTGATAGATTCATAACGCACCACAGGTGAGAATGTCTCATTGTAGTCAATACCCTTCACCTGTGTGAATCCTCGAGCAACAAGTCTTCCCTTGAAGACTCCGTCATCTTTCTTTGCAAAGACCCAACGACATGTAATTGGCTTTCTTCCTTTCGGCAACTTGACCAATTCATAAGTGGAGTTCTCCTTGTGAGCAGCTATTTCTTCGTCACAAGCGCGCTTCCATTCCACTCTTTCATCGCTCTTCATAGCTTCCTTGTGGTTTCCAGGAACATCAGTTCCTCCAGATATAGCGTCAGCTTCACCAGCCATGAAGCATGTAGCAACGTAATTCACAGGTTTGTATTCTAACAACTTGCTTTTGGTATCATCATTCAGTTCTGATTCTTCATCACAATCACTTGGCTCTTCAATATGAGGCTCAATTTTCGAAACCACCAAGTCATCATTGCTACTGCCATTTGGAACAAACGAAGTCAACTCTTCTGAATTTCTTGTATTCCTGAACTTCTTTCTTTGTGGTTTCTCAGTAACACTTTCCCTCTCTGAATCTGAGCTGAATGTGTCAGGCTGTTCTTCTATTTCAGCCAAAATACCAAATGTTGAGTTGACAATCCAAAGTCATATATTGGGTTTTGTACAGATGGCTCAACGGTTAACACGGGTATCAATGTGTTGAATAGATCCTGGGTTCGAGTCTCGGATAAGACGGTTTATTTACCATGGCTGAGCAATATATAATCTGCATGTGATTATGACTCAGCCTAATAATTAGTCATTGTGCATATGATTAATCATCTAGAATGTTCTAGATGGATGTATGATTACAAATCATATATATTGGTCTTATTATAAATATGGGGCCTCTCCCCATAGTTTGAGTTTATATTTTGTTAGTTAAATAGTTAGTTAGTTAAGAAGAATAAGAATAATAACAAGGATAGTTTGATAGTATTTGTTATTGGTAATGACTACTGTAACTAGGGTTACAAAACTTCAACAGGTTATGAGTTCAAATGCCCTTACTTCGTTTGCTGCTGATGAAAAGTTGAAAGGTTCATCAAACTTCTATGATTGGTTCACATTGATCAGTGTCAAGATGAAGATGAAAGGTCTTGGGTTATATGCTTATTTGATCAATGGAGAGACCGGAACTGACGGTCTGGAAGACTCAAACGAAGTTGCTCAATTGGTTGCTACTATGGATGAAATTATCTCTACAGTTGTCTTTAACAGTATCACTGGCGCTGCTTTGACTAAGGCCTCGGAATTCGATGGTACCGGCAGAAACTTGTTTATGTTTCTCAAGGAGGCCTATGGTACTTTGACTGTTACCAATGCTGTGGGTATTATTTGTGATTTAATGGACAACAAATGGTTGAAAACTAAAGAAGGAAAAGTGGAACACTTTATTGATGCTTTTAATCATTTCAAGAACACTGTTGGTAAATTGGACGGAAGCACTGTGCTTTGTGCATTGTTCTTGGGTTTGGGCCAGAAGGCTGGTTTCGGTAATAGCCTCTCTAGAGAAGTCATGACAGCCTACGAGTCCAGAAATGGCAGAACTATTGGTAATGTTGACCTCGGTCTTGTTCAGGATTGAACAAGAGAGATCATTGGAGATAAAAGTATTGCGTCTACTAGTATTGAGAGTCCGGAACCGGTTTTCGCCACCAAGAAGCAATACAAGTGCTTCAATTGTGGGAAGCCTGGACATTTCAGAAGAGATTGCAAGGCTCCTAAGAGAGAGAAATTAATTGGCGATGGTAGGAATCCGTCACCATCGTGGTATGCATTTATGGGAATGCATGGTAACAACTCCAGGGTGTATTTTGATTCAGGTGCCTCGCAACATATCTTAAACAATAAGAGCTTGTTCAAGACGATCAGACCGTTTGGAGGAGAGATCTCCGGGATTGATGGCGGTGGTGTTGCTGTTGCAGGTATTGGGTCTGCGGAGTTCAAATTACGTGATAATACCAATATTGAAATCAAAGATGCTTATTATGTTCCAGACTCAAAAGCCAACTTGATTTCCGTTTCCAAGGCTACTCTGAATGGTGCGAAATTATTGTTTGAAGGAAACAAAGTGAAAATGTATCCGGAAATGAAGGTTATTGGTACCAAGGATCCTCTGATGAATGGGCTTTACAGATTATCTACCGAAACTAATGGTGTTGCGTTTAAGAGTACCGACAAGGGTAGCCTCTGGCATGAGCGGCTAGGCCACCCTAGTGCAAACATCATGCAGAAGTTTAATAATATTTTCAAGTTGGTAAAAGGGAAAATTAGTGGAACTAACAGCACCATTATTTGTGACTGTTGCTTGTCCACTAAAGGCGTTGTGAGAAAGCCAAGGAATGGTCAAGGTTCCAAGCCAAAGAAACCTTTACAATTATTGCATATGGACGTTTGTGGTCCATTTAGTTATGGCTCTGTTGATTCGGCAAAGTATTTTCTCACCATAGTTGATGGTTATTCTAGGTGGGTAGAGGTTAGATGCCTTACCCATAAGTCAGAATGTACCTCTCAGATTATTGATTTCATCAACTATGCTGAAACGATGTTCAAATCACAAGGAAAAGAGTTCAAAGTTGGCACCATCAGAACCGATAATGGTGGTGAGTTTGTAACTATTGAGCTTCATGAGTATTTAAGAGGCAAAGGGATTGCCCACGAGTTGACCGTCCCACACCATAGTTATCAGAATGGTACTGCGGAGCGGATGAACAGAACGCTCCAGGATAAAACGAGATCGTTGCTTATTGGGGCTTCGATGCCTGCCCAATTCTGGTCCGAAGGCGTTCGTACTGCTGCTTACTTGATCAATAGAACACCTTCGAGAATAATTGGTTTTCGGACACCATATTGTCGGTGGTTTGGTTACAATCCAGGATTGGATCATCTTAGAGTTTTTGGTTGCCTTGGATATGTTGTTGTCCCTCAGAAGTTGAGGTATGGAAAATTTGGTGCTACTTCGAAAATGTGCATCATGCTTGGTTATGATAGAAACCGGTGTGCCTACAGGATGTTTGATCCTGAAGCCAACAGAATTATAACTGCTACCCAAGTCAACTTCGATGAGTCAAGGTATTATTATCAAGATGTGAAAGTGTCTTCCACTGCTATACCAGGAGAAGAGAATAGAGTTTCTGGCGGAGGCGGTCGTGTTGGTGGAATATCTGCTGCTCCAATTATTACGGATGAGCAATTGGTTGATGTTGATATCAGAAGGGTGAATAGTTCAGGATACCATGAAGATGAAACC